CAATGCGTGTAGGCGAACTTCTCACGATGTCTACGAAATATTGTTTTTCTTATTTCTCAGACATGCCGGTTTCCTCACGATGTTTTCCTTCACCGCCGAGCACGTGGTAAGTCAGCACTTAAAATTGCAATAAACAATTTCATAGGTGCCGGTGGGTATTGAATACAACCCGGGCTCATGTACTGTGAAATTTACAGCGAGCACTTAGCTCCATTATTTACTCTATGCCTGAACTACCACGACTCCAAATTAATGTTTCTCTTAAATTACTTCAACTCCACGACCTATTGCAGGTGAAATTTAGATTTTATGACAAAATAATATGGGGATGAGTCGCTCGCGTCCGTAGGCTTCGACCACCTAATCCTAGGCCCACCCTACACGTGTCCCCCGGGTGGTGCTAAACGAACGACACTGCGAAAGAACTGCTCGGCTCCTCGCCGTGTGGTAGCGGCGTAAAAAATACCACAACTTACTATCGCACCATGAGGCATAAAATTAATGAAATGGCCCCGAGTTCCCGGCGCCCCTTTAATGGGGCAGGGGTGCGAAGAATCTCCGGGAGGAAAACCGGCGACGAGGTTCGCCACCCGTCACGTTCTGTCCCCCGGAGGGGCGAAAAGTGGATTGCGGAAGCCCGTCTGGCTACATTGAATGTATGTGGAGGAATGAATGATAAGATGGATGAAGTATGCGATATGATGTATGTATAGAGGAATAGACGTGTTATGTGGAAATGAGACGAAACGGAAGGGAAAGGATGCCACTACACATGGCATGTATACCGCGTACTGGTCTGGTGTAGACGAGACCGAGCGGGCATGCCAGGGAGTCGGTATCATCCTTTCAGAAAGAATGGGTCATTGCGTGAAAGAGTATGAATGTGTAAGCCCGAGACTGCTATGTATACGGATGAAAGTGGGCTTAAAGAAGTTGTTTGTTTTAGGGGTCTACGCCCCAGACATGTCTAAGCCCACTTATATCCGAGAGCAGTTTTGGGAGTTGGTAAGGATGGTGCTAATGAAATGCAAGGTTAATGAAAATATTGTGATATTAGGCGATTTTAATGGAAGGGTTGGGGTGAGGAGGCTTGGTTATGAAAGGATATTGGGAACGTTTGGTGATGAAAGTATAAATGAAAATGGTGAAAGCCTTCTCGCCGTATACGTGGAAAAGAATCTTGTTGTGACAAACACTTTCTTTCGTCATAAGAAGATTCACACGTATACATGGAAAAGAGGTGATGATAGAAGTATGATAGATTTCATAATTGTTGATGAAAGAATGAGGAGCGCGGTGGTAGATACAAGGGTTTACCGGGGCTCTAACGTAGGGACGGATCATTACTTGGTCTTATGCCGAATTAATGGTCTTTTCAGACGTTGGAGGCATCGGACATCTGTGTCTACCACTGCGTTACAGCGTATAAGAACAGAGAGGTTACAAGATGAAGGTGTGAAAGAGAAGTTCAAATGTAGATTGAGAGAAAATGTAAGTGGTATGGCTGAATTGTGTATGAATGATTTAGACTTGGAGACTGTATGGTATAATGTCAAGAAAGGTTTAGTGGATGCAGCTACCGAAGTATGTGGTGTAAGTAAGAGAACGATTGAAAGGAAAAATAACACGTTATGGTGGGATGATGAGGTACGGATGGAAGTTGAAGCAAAGAAGAAAGCATGGCTAGATTTACTAGCAACCAAGGCTAGTAATTCTAGCAGTATAAATGATGATATTGAAAGGAAAAAGGCAGTTTTTAGACATCTAAATAAGAGAGTAAAAGAAGTAGTTGAAAGGAAAAAGCAAGAAAGAACGGATGAGAATGATAGAAGAATATCGGATAACTTCCAGGCAAACATTAAAATGTTCTGGAAACTCGTAAGAACTACCAGGGGACATTCACAACAGCCTAGAATGAATGCTATATGAGACCAGAATGGCTGTATTCTGAATGACGAAGTTTTGAGTTTAAGGAGATGGAAGGAATACTTTGAAAGCGTGTTTATGAGTGATGAGACGTTTGAATTAAATGAAATAGAAATTCCGAAAGAAGAGGAAATAGATAGAGATATAAGTATAGATGAAATAATGAAAGCAATGAAAAGTATGAAAGCAGGTAAGGCACCCGGTTATGATAGAGTATCTCTCGAAATGCTAAGGGCTGGAGAAGGAGTGGTGGCAGACCTGCTGTACACCTTGTTTAATTTATGTTGGGAACTTAAGCGGGTACCGAGAGACTGGTGCAAAGCCGTGATAGTCCCAATATATGAGGGAAAAGAATCACAGCAGGACTGTAAAAACTACCGTGGTATCAGCCTTCTTAGCATTGTGGGAAAACTGTATGCTAAGGTACTAATTGAAAGAGTTATGAAAGAAACTGATGGAAAAATTTGGGATGTGCAAGCGGGATTTAGAAAGGGAATGGGATGTACGGATCAGGTCTTTTCCATGCGCATGATCGCGGAGAAGTATTTGGCGAAAAACCAAAAAGTTTTTTGTGCGTTCATAGACTTGGAGAAGGCTTATGACAGAGTGGACAGGGATGTGTTATGGCAAACACTGAACTCATTTGGGTTGACCGCTGGTCTGATACAGGCATTGAAGTCTCTATATAGGGACTCTAGTGCTTGTGTCAGGATCAACGGGGCCTACTCGGACTGGTTTGGCATCCATAAAGGTGTGAGACAGGGCTGTGTGACTTCCCCGTGGTTGTTCAACCTATTTATGGACAGTTATTTGAAAAATTCGAAAGTAGAAGAATGCGGGTTAAGAATGGGTGAGTTAACCGTCAAATGCCTTTTGTACGCCGATGATCAAGTCATACTTGCATCGTCGGCAGCCGAGTTGCAAATGATGGTTACATTAATGAACAGGACATTAAAAGAAAAGGGAATGAAAGTGAACGCAAGTAAGACGAAAGTTATGGTTTTTGAAAGAGAAGACAGCAAAACGATATGTGAAATAAGAATAGAAGGGGAGTTGGTAGAGCAAGTAGATGAGTTTGTATATTTGGGATGTGTGTTTAGCAGGGATGGTAGATATGATAAGGATATAGAACGACGAGTGAATGCAGGAAATAGAGTGAATGGGGCTCTACACTCTATTGTGAAAAGTCAGAATGTGTCCAAAAAGGCACGTATGGCAATTCACAATGCTGTGTTAATACCTACTTTAATGTATGGTAGTGAAAGTTGGGTGTGGCAGAAGAAGCATGAGAGTAGAATAAATGCTGTAGAAATGCGGTCATTAAGGAGTATGTTATTAAGCTGAATGACAGAGTGAGAAATTGCTTAATAAGAGAAGAGTGTGGTTTGCAAGATGATGTTGTGACCAGGATTAAGAAAGGAATGCTTCGGTGGTTTGGCCATGTAGAAAGAATGAATGAGGAAAGAGTGACAAAGCAAATCTATGTTGCAGAGGTGAACGGCATAGTCGGGAAGGGTCGCCCTAGGCGAAAGTTTATCGACCAAATTGGCGATATATTAAAAATGGGCCATATCAAGAGTACCTTTAACCGACGAGCGTGTATGCGTAGGTATATGGATGTGGAGGAAGCGAGAGAGGTGTGTCAGGATCGTGCCAAATGGAAGTCCATAATCTCTGCCTACCCCTCTGGGGTGACAGGCGTGAGTGTTTATGTTATGTCAAATTAATATTTTAGTGTTGATGTACAATTTGCGATTCTATGTAAAATGTAAAATGTGTACTCCGTACCATCGTAATACACGTTTCTAGTAGTGGAGCCTCCTTTACTTTTTTATTTATTTCTATTTTTATTATTTATTGTGATAGCGACAACAGAAATGCACATTCTGTAAAAATTCAACTGTCTGTCTACCTATTACGGATCATGATATACAGCCCGCTGACAGACAGACGGACGGACGGACAACGGAGGCTTAGTAATAGGGTCCCGTTGGTTACCCTTCGGATACGGAACCCTAATAAAAACTGCGTTGGTGAACCCGTCTGCCACACATGGCAACTATGGCAAGCATTCCCCTAATGAGGTAATCTTTGGGGTGACAACAAAAAGTCGACTTCGTCGACGCTTTCAAAAAAAAATTATATAAATAATGACGAGTGCTCTCATCTACATAGCAATCAATGTGACTGGTGTGCAATATAACATTGCTATGCAGAAGGAACAGGGTGGGTTATAGCCTGATAGCACGTAGTTTTCAGGCTTATATTTGGAGCATGACGGCCTTAGAGCTTGTTACATTTTTATCGTGGAGGAAATCCTCATAAATAGTTTGGGCTTTGTGAAAATGTTGTGCCGGACTCCTACCGGTAGTCACCATCAGCGTATACCAGGGGTCCCGATATATTCGTTCGGAACGCAACTGGAGCACCTCTTTCATATTGGAAGCAAGGACTCGCTGTACTGTTTCGGAGGTACGGCTTATTACTTTATCTTAATATAGCTCCACATTTATTACGTGGTAGAGCCGTGTTGCAGCTATATTACTGGTATAGTTGTAGCACGAATGGGTCGGCTCGACCGGGGAAGGAGCACGCTCTCACAGAATACCAGTATAAAATAGCAGCATAACTGTGTTTCGTATGGTGAGTATAGAGAACCGGAGACTCCTTTTACTGGAAAAGAGGCATTGCATCTTAGTCCTCACGGGTGACAACGTATCTGCATTTTGATTCGTCATCGAGGATAGATGTAGATGTCTATGGGCCACGGCAACCATTTACCACCATCAGGTGGATTGTGTACTCGTTTGTCACCCTTATCCTATAAAAAACAGCAAAAGCCTTATTAATGCGTAGAGTACGCGTAAGTTAGAACGAGTGAATGCCTAACATCTACTGCGTAGATGACAGTTGCGAACAGTATTCGCAAGTTGAGCCGTGGTCGAAAACCGACCAGGCGCACATTACACCCTACGAATTTTACCAGATGTCGCGGAGGTACCGACCTTCCCTTTGATCATAATGAAATGTTTATATTTTGATATATATGTCGGAGCAACATTTTTCACACTTACCTTGACTTTGCTGTTGAGATAGAGTGCTGTTCCGAGGGCGCCACCGCAAGCGGCACAATACGATGCAAACAGCTGCCTACAATTATTCAACAAATTAATAAAATCTGCCATAAGGACGCGGCGTAAGGGAAACCATCACTCTATTTCCTCTTTTGAATTTCCCGCTTTGATAATTAATTTTTTTTTTGTTTAAATAGGAAGCTATAGATTTCGGTCCGATTTTGAGAATGCGAGTTTTCATCAGATCTCGTTTCGAGGTCCTAGGCTTTGGAAGCCGTTCCAACTATTCCCGGCTGGAAAGATCATTATTGTTTGATTTATGTCAGAAATTTATAAAATTATTTTTAATTTTTTTTTATAAGACACATAACTTTGTAAAAAAAGAAAAGTGTGATGAAGTGAGTCCAAATAAAGAACGTTATGCCGATACGCTGACAGGATAGTGTAGTAGAATAGGAATTAATAGTTTATCTATTTTCAAGTATTTTTTTTTGTTCTTAATTTGCACCACCAACGTGAGTTGAGCACCAAAGAGCATAAGGTTTTATTGCATCTTTTCCAGGGTTGACTGGTGGAGAATGCCATAGCGCATTATATCGCCCCTTGAAACCCCTAGTTGAAGGTACAAGTTGTACTGCAATAAAAGATAACTAAATTTTAAAAAAAAACTAGTGTGTACTGTGTACGCGTTATTGACATATACAATACGATACGGCTGATCGATATACGTCAAGACGATCAAACAAGAACATAACATAAGTATCGACGTATTTCAAGTGGATCAAAAGAAAGAACTACGAAGAAATAAATAAAGACAAATACTCACTTGGTACTGATTGGTGCATCTCCCGATCTATTCGTGTAATTGACGACCGCGTTGAACGTTTGATTAATCCACTGCCAGAATATGGTCGCCGGCGTGGTCTTGTAGAATGTGATCATGCCTAGTACAATATAAAGATTATTTTTATTAATATATTCAAAAGACAGCAATAGTAGTGAGTGAAAGAGCCTATAATTGTGTATCAACACTATCGGGATATGTATAGCACCTTCTTTTTTAAAGTAGCTATTACACTCAGTATTCAGCGTGTATTCTGTGTATATATATAGAATAACCGTGACAAACGAGCACATAGTCCACCTGATGGTAAGCGGAAGCTGTGGCTCATAGACATCTACATCTATCTTCGATTAAGAATCAAAATGCAGGTGCGTTGTTACCCCTGAGGACTAAGATGGAATGCTCTCACCATACGAAACATAACAGCATTAGGATGCTACTTTACGCTGGTATCTTAATCTTGCTGCATTCATAATATAGCTACAGCGCCAGCGTGACTCTACCGCGTCAAATACGTAAATGCGATATACACCATTACTTCCTATTTAACCGCTTTCATGAAATGTATAGAAAAGGTTAAATAGGGAAGCGAGCTCCGGCAACTTACCACCAGTTATGAGGGTGTTCATTGGAGCCTGCGCCGCCATCCTGCCAAGAACGAACATTTTCTCGCCGGTATCTGGATGAAACGCGCTGTCGTACAAGTATTTCTTTTCCCAGAGCTTATCTTCATCGTAACCGGCCGGCATTTTACGTGTTCTCCTATAGAAACACCATTTTAGTGAGATTTTTAACAATTTTATTAAATAGCTTCAATTCACGCTTGTAATTCCCGATGAGGTAGACTGCGTCCAAAGAGCAGTAAGCTACTTGGGCCAGGTTAAGCCAAAAAATATGGATTTAGATGAAGAATTGTGTAAGAAATGATAGATACAGGTAGCCCATTGCCTACACAATGATAAATCCAATATCCCAATAGTCACCTTTTACGAAATGCTAGGTAGGTAACACAATGGGCACATTCTTATTTGTTACTAACTAATACCCGCGACGTTGCCCGTGTTGCTTGTTATTATATTAACAAGGTATTCGTATGTGCGAATAAAAAAAATCAAAAAGACAAATTTTCTTTGTTAACAATCTCATTCGTTGCTCCGTTTGTAGCTAAAATATATAAATTATCTGGGTTAGTAACGCGAGAGCAAACGACCTACAGTTAACCGTGTGAAAACCCCCGTAATAAAATCGTTGTTTCTTACAACTTTAATAACTTCATATTAAATGAAGATATCGCAATATTTTTTTTAGATAAGGGCCAAGGTCAGGTCAGGTCAAGAGTACCCTAAACCGAAGAGCATGCATGAAGGGACTAATGAAAGTGGACGAAGCGAAACAAGTATGTAAGGATCGTAGCAAGTGGAAAGAAGTGGTCTCTGCCTACCCCTACGGAAAAGAGGCGTGATTATATGTATATATGTATAAGGGCCAAGTGTCTAAGAAATAAAACTTAGAACACTTAATTGAAATCTATCCAGTAGTTTTTCGGTGATGCGCGCACAACTGCAAACCTCCATCATTTTATTTATATAGACAGATAAGTAAGTCCCGCATAAACATGGCATTTAGAAGTTGCAGACCAACATGGGGCATGGGACGGAAGTTTTAAAATCTTGAAATGCATGCTATTATTAGCGTATTAAACTGTACATCTTTTATTACTTCATCTGCAACAGTTCACTGATGTACGCGGGCCTTTCACTGTGTAGCGAAGAGTCGACGTCATAGCTACGCTTACCAGAAGGCTTCTTGGACCTTTGACGGTGATTACTGTCACCGGACTTAGTATTTTAGATCTGGTTTAACGTGATGGTAATGCGTATCTGAGAGTTCCATATACATCAGTATCCGATAGATAATAGGCGGTATGCGCTAAGTATCGGGGACGATGGAATAAGTTACCTTATTATTTATTATTAACATAGGACTCCCACATAGATTGCCACACAGAAGGCATACTTGCCATAACTGCCACGCTTGGCATGCGGGTTGGCATCTGCATTTTTTATTATTTTAAGATGGTATAAATAAGATGCCGCAGCCCATCTAATGTTTCAGGTTTCCTATGTCGCTACTTACGAAATCTACGGGATGATATGGGGGATATAATCCACTAGGATTCACTTACGTATAAATTACTTCCTGTTAAATATAAAATTATGTAAGACAGTAAAGTTTTAAAGAAGAATTATGCTAAAGATTGCATGATCGAAGTGTTAAAATCGAAGGAAGCAGGTGGTATGTGGCGCATCGTGACAGTCTATGGGAGGTATGTGTTCAGTTTTGGACTTTTTAACTTACACTAGGCTGTAGCGATGATGATGATGTTGAAATAGCGACCGACTGTTCACTCAAAGAATTGTATTTATTCTCTTACCTGAATTCATTGACGATTTTCTTCGCTTCGTCGAGCTCCTTGTCGCTAGCGAGTATATTGAGAGGGTTGGTGAGAAGCAGAAAGTGCTTCGCGCGACCCGAATACGTGCTTTGGTCATATCGAGGCTTGTCCAGGTCTATTGAGCCCATTGTGATATTGGTTTATGCTGCGAACATACAGAATATGAAGAAAGTTTTAAACAAATATTTGTTATAGTAAATATAAAATCTGTTGTAATATTTCGATTACATAAAATTAATTATGGGTTCAAATTTCAACTTCATCAATCGATGGATTCAATTCGGCTGGGGAGCGTTCGGGAGGGATTTTTAGTTTTTTAACTATTATTTATTTTTTACAAGCCTTTTTAAGTATTTAATTTAAGTTTTATTTTAAACTGTCGCAACGAACCAATAAATTATAATTTGAGAATTGTGTTTTTGTTACTATCCAAAACAACACTTTGAAGACGGCGTCTAGCCTATATTTTATACATTACACAGAAAATACAACATTCTACATTATATACTGCTGCACTAGATGATAGAACTCTTATTTTGTCTAGAAGTCCACCAACTTCTTACCTGTATTTTCCACTAAGGGGAAGCCTTTTTTATTCTATAGAACTATTGGCGACAAACGAGCACACAGTCCACCTGATGTTGATACGAAACACAGCTGCATAATCCTACTCTTTCTATTATTCAGTGATTATATTTGTGGAGCTAAGCTGCAGCTATGTTATGTTTGTAGCACGAATGGGTCGGCTCGACCGGGGTAGGACGGAACACGGAACAAACCAGCCTTTAGCTGCACGCGCATGCGCAAGCAGTTAACACTGGTTTTTCCCGTATGGTGAGTGTAGATTTAACCCGAGACCCCTTTACACTGGATACTTTCGTGCCTTTGATTCATTCAGGCATTCGATGTTGGTTGTCAGGGGTAACAGTGCAACTTCTATTTGATTCTTGATCGAGCTTAAATTTTTATGAGCACCCATATACCGTCGGGTGCGCTTTGTGCTTGTTTGTCCTCTCATACAATAAAAGATAACCACGCTGGTATTTAGTACCCTCACTACATACCATAATCTAGCTGGACGAATAAGTTTAATAACTGGTTTGGAAGCATTTCATCTTTATTCTCCTGGCTAACAAAACATCTTAGGCCTTCTTTACTTAGATTAGTTGTAGTTGTCCATGGGCTGTAGCAGCCACTTACCATTAGATCAACTGTTGAATCGTTTTTGACACTAATACTTAAATAAAAACCGGTCAAGTGCGAGTCGGACTCGCGCACCGAGGGTTCCGAACAAATATGTAGGTATATAAGTTTAAAATTATTAAAAATATTTTTAATATATGATGTAACTAAAAATTTATGCTTTTCGCAATTTTTCCTTTATCTGTGCTATAAAACGTTGTTTCGTACAAAATTTTAAGATTCTGAGTTTACGGGAAGTACCCTGTAGGTTTTAATTCCCTTGCGAATGTCGAAAATTTGCGGCATAAACGGCTGTATCTATTGATTGCGTTGACTCAGAAGTTTTATTTTTTCAGAACTCCAAGGGACAGTAGACTTGAGTATTTGATATGAATTTCAGCTTGATACCTCCACGCGTTCCTGACAAAAAGGGTCTTGACAGACAGACAGACAGACAGACAGACGGACGGACGGACAACAAAGTGATCCTATAAGGGTTTCGCTTTTTTCCTTTTGAGGTACGGAACCCTAAAAATAACATTATAATTCATGACAATACCTCCGAATTAAACAGCGCATTTATTTCAATGTCAAAAGATAACTATTGATGTCGCCGGACTGACCACTATCTAGCGACCTGAGCATTATGAAAGAGTGTCTATGAACTTGATAAAGCAATCAAAACAAACACGAAGAGAATAAACGCTTCGATCATCGCCGGCACCATCAAATTGATAATTCGTTTTAAAGTGTTGATTTTACCACGTTCTCAGCGGTGAAGAAAAACATCGTAAAGAATAAAAATATTTAAAAGATATTATATCTTTGAAATATATAAAAGTCCGTCTACACTCTACATGCACGTATAGGTATAAATTACTGAGGCAACGAGAAGGAATAATTGCTCCAGAACTCACTCAGAAATGAGAGCAGGCTGTACCCAGCCACTGGACTGTAACTTTACTTTACTTTTTACTTACAAATAATTACAACAAATATACATATAAACTTTTCTACTGAATCATTCTATCTATTAATAAAAACCGCATTAAAACCTGTTGCGTAGTTTAAAAGATCTAAGCGTACAGACGGCGGGAAGTGACTTTGTTTTATACTATGTAGATATATATGTTACAAAAACTACAAAATCAATAAAATCTTTAACTTAATCAGGTAATCATTGTACAAATAAGCGTCAAATGAACTTAGTTCGTGGACGAGAAAGATAAATTATTTCTTCTCAAAGTATGTACGAAGATTACTAATTCTAGGCACTTTTTTATTTACTATGTGGTATACACAGACATCTTATTAAAATAGTAGAGTCGAATTCTATGGATTTCAAAACAGAGGCATATGTTGAAATTTGGATTTTAAAATGACGGACCCATTCTGTATAAGAACCTGAGAACCTCGTATTATTTATTCTGTGACCTCGTTGGTAACCTAACGAGGTAGATATATTAGATTCGTTTGTTTTTTTGTTTTTACAATTTAGCGATAATTCGAAAAATGTGTTAAGATGAATTTAACAAGAGTAAATAATTGCTTTTAAGTTACGATTTTTCGTGTTCAATCAACAACAAAATTATGACAGTTTTCGATTGCTGTCATGATGTATGCTTATCCCTCGTCACGGCTTTCAACGGGTCCAAGAAGTTTAATGGTCTTAGCAATCATATTGATGATGTCTAAGATTCCTTTTTTTATAATTTGAGAATGATGTGCGTTAGGGACGTCACTGAATAGTAACAATTGAAGATAACGTCACAATACTGACGTTATCTTCAGTTGTTACTGCTAAATAAAAAATGATAAGAGAGTAACCTTTGGTAGGTACTTCTCTTATCAGCTCTCAGATAGGGCAAGCTTATGTATGATTCAAATACAAAAAATCTTACATTAATCATTTAGGTGCTAGAAACCTTTGTACTAAGATGGAATTTGATCGAAGATCAAAAACTCCATCGCAAGAGTTGAATTTTTCATGAGCGTGATAATCTTGGGTTTAGGCATGAGTCAGATCTGTTATTGTTATTTCGGATAACGCTGGTGCCAGGGCCCTAACCTGCCAGGCTGTGACATAGTATGAAACCCGAGTTCGAGTCGCTCGCGTTGTTCATAATACTATTTTATCTCCCTATTTTCTGTGATGTTAGTACTATTAGCCATTTGGCTTTAACAGCTTCACCTGACTCTCAGCCACAAATAATCGCTAATTTGCTTCCCTAGCGTGAGTTTTGTGCCAAATCTGGAATCATCATCATTACAGCCCTTCATAAGTCCACTGCTGAACATAGGTCTCCCCCAAGGAATGCCACAAAGCACGGTCCTGAGACACCTGCATCCATCGACTTCCTGCATATCTTACCAGGTCGTCACTCCATCTAGTGGGGGGACGCCCTACACTTCGCCTGCCGGTACGAGGCCGCCACTCGAGAACCTTTTTTCCCCATCAGTTGTCGTTTCTTCAAGCTATATGACCGGCCCATTACCACTTCAGCTTACTAATCCGTTGGGCTATGTACGGTCACTCTGGTGCTACTGCGGATATCCTCATTTCTAAGTTTATCACGCAGAGAAACTCCGAGCATAGCCCTATCCATAGCTCGCTGACCTTGAGCTTCCTCATCCGGTCAGCAGTGAAGGACCACGTCTCAGTTCTCAACTGTTAAATAATTTACTTGTAAAATGTATAAAGCTATAATAATAAATACTCGTGTTATTCTTGCCACGGAATGGGTTGAAGTAGGGAGGAGTCTGTCGCCCACTACGTTCCACACTGGACATTGTGCTCCTCTGATTTCTAACAGGGATACTTACTTACTTACTTACTTACTTATTTACTTATCTTCACGCACAATCCCTGACGGGGTAGCCAGAGAGAACAGATCGCCAAGTGTCACGATCCTTACATATCTCTTTCGCTTCTTTCAGATTCATTATCTTCTTCATACATGCACGTCTAGGTATCCGAGTACTCTTGACCCTACCCTCTTCGAGCAATTTGCTCACATGGTCTTCGAAAGTTAGTCTCGGTCTACCTCGACACCTTTTAATATTAACTTTCGCGCTATATATTTTCTTCACCATTCGGTCTTCACTCATTCGCTCAACGTGCCCAAACCACCGAAGCACGCCCTTATCAATTTTTGTGATAAGGTCATCTTTCAAACCTGCCATATTGCGAATCTCTTCGTTTCGCTTTCGGTCGGCCATAGTAACGCCGCACATTTTACGAAGAGATCGCATCTCCACTGCATTCAACTTACTTTTATGCTTCTTCTGGCATACCCAGGTTTCGCTGCCATATAACAAAGTCGGTACCAACACTGCGTTATGTATTGCAAGGCGTGCACTCTTCGCTACGCCTTGCCTTTTGACTAACGCAGTCAGGGCACCATTGACTTTGTTCCCGGCAGCGACACGCCTGTCCACATCTAAATCACATCTTCCATCCCGGCTAAAAGCACTCCCCAAGTATACAATTTCATTTACCTGTTCTAGACATTCCTGATTTACCCATATTTCACACTTCGTTCTCTCTTCGTCCCTTTCAAATACCAGAACCTTAGTTTTATTAGCATTCAAACGGAGACCTTTAATTTCACATTCCTCTTTCATACACGTGACTAATGCCTGCAGTTCTACCTCTGATGGTGCAATAAGCACTGCATCATCAGCATACAGCAGACAGTTTACTTTTATGTCACCCAATTTCACACCCAAACAGCTATCTTTCAGCTTTTGTAAACAGCTGTCGAGATACAGTATGAACAGCCAGGAAGACATGACACAACCCTGTTTTACGCCCGTTTGGACGCTAAACATGGGTGACAGGTCATGCCCTACCCGCACACAGGCTTTACAGTCACAGTAAAGAGACTGCACAGCCCTTAGCAATCGGCCATCCACACCATACCCCGGCAACAGTTCCCACATTTTC